AGACGCCGGGAGGGGAGGGAGGCAGGAGGGAGACAAGGAGGAATGAGGGGATACGGGGATGCTGGAGGATGCTGGGATGCAGGAGGGATGCAGGAGGATGCGGGGATGCAGGAGGATGCGGGGATGGAGGGATGCAGCAGCGATGCAGGGAGCAAGGGGATTCAGGGATGCAGGATTCTGGAGGGATGCAGGGATGCGGGAGGGATGCAGGGGGATGCAGGAGAAGTGAAGGGATGCAGGAGGGATGCGAGAGGGATGCAGTAGGAATGCAGGGATGCAGGAACAATGCGGGAGGGATGTAGGAAGGATTCAGGGATGTGGGGATGCAGGAGGGATGCAGGAGGGATGCAAGGTTACAAGGATGCAGGGATGCATGATTCAGGAGGGATGCAGGGGGATGCAGGAGAGGTGAGGGATGACGGAGGGATGCAGGGATGCAAAAGGGATGCAGGGATGCAGGGATGCAAGGATGCGGGAGAGATGCAGGAGAGGTGCAGGGATGCAAGCGGGATGCAGAAGGGATGTGGGGATGCAGGAGGGATGCAGGGGTGCAGGGGATGCAGGGATGCAGGAGGGATGCAGGGGATGCAGGCATGCGGGGGATGCAGGAGAGATGCGGGGGATGCAGACATGCGGGGGGATGCAGGAGAGGTGCAGGGATGCGGGAGGGATTCAGGAGGGATGCAGGGATGCAGGGATGTAGAAGGAATACAAGGATGCAGGAATGCAGGAGGGATGCGGGGGTGCAGGAGGGAATGCAGGGAAGGCAAGGATTCAGAGAGAGGATGGTGGCAAAGGCAGAGGGATACCATGTTCAGATCAAAGGAGGCAGATGCAAAATGGAGGTAGGGCATTTGCAATGCTATGGTAGGAGGGCAGCTGTTAGCAAAGGGACTCTGGCTCTAAGACCCACTCAGTGCTCACAGTGCTCTCACATCTCCCTGAAATCTCCAGAAACCATCTTCTAGGTACCATGTTACCTATACATCACACACACCAAATATAGGCCACATATTTAATACACATCACATATATATGTGTCTATAAATGCGGTTCTACATATGTGCTTGTGTTCGTTTTGGGGGCAGTAAAGGGGCTTGAACTCAGGGTCTCACACTTGCTAAGCAGGCACTTTTATTTTTGTCGGTCCGTAGGGCTTAAACTCTGGGCCTGGGCGCTGTCCCTCAGATCTTCAGCTCAAGGCTAGTGCTTTATCACTTGAGCCACAGTACCACTTCCGTTTTCTAAGTGGTTTATTGGAGATAAGAGTCTCATGGTCTTTCCTCCCCGGGCTGGCTTTGAACCGAGATCCTCAGATCTCAGCCTCCTGAGTAGCTACGATTACAGGCATGAGCCACCGGCACTCAGCAGCAGACCTTTTTTTTTTCATTGTGAAAATATCGTACAGAGGGGTTACAATTACATGGGCAAGATAATGAGTGCATTTCTTTTTTTTTTTGGGGGGGGTAGTCCGGTCGTGGGGCCTGAACTTGGGCCTGGGCGGTGTCCCTCAGCTCTTCAGCTCAAGGCAAGCGCTCTACCACGTGAGCCACAGCGCCACTTCTGGCTTTTTTCTTTTTGCTTATGTGGTGCTGAGGAATCGAACCCAGGGCCTCATGCATGCAAGGCAAGTGCTCT